TCAAGCGGAACTCGACCAACTCCCGGCAAATGGTCAGCTCCCGCTAAAACTGATGAAGCGGTGAGAGGAAAGAGGAGATGGGTGAAAACACTCGAATGACCTATAGATAGTCAGATCTCGGAGGAATAGGTCCAGTTATAACTGGATACTAACAGTCGAATCGTGGTGAAGCAATTTGATTTGAAACCTTTTCAATTTTCATATCATGTTCGATTTTTGATATATTTTTTTCTTACTTATTTTGATTCCATTGTTATTTCACGATATTTCTATATCAAAGTCAAGAATTCTAAAAACTAATAAACTCACCGTGCATGGGTCCTATAACCACCATAACAACCAACATGAGAAGCATAACCTTAGTCCTCCTATTATTCTCTCCTCTCTTGAAGGCTACGTTGAAAGTGTCCATGAGATGTTGCACATCGAAGAAGTCCCTGAAGAAGGCACATGGACGATCTGGTAAAGTGGGCTCGTCTATTTTTTTGGGTTCCTTGATATGTTTGTACCCATAATACAACGAAATAATGTACATCACTGCAGAAATGGAAAACACCCCATAGAAACCGATTGTTTTGTACAAGATACCGCTCAGTGCGAGTCCGATGGGAATGCCCAACGAACAGAACACATTCACTATGCCGATTCTTAAGGTCCTCATTTCCACGGTTGTAACGTCGGCTATATAACTGAACACGCCCATGAACATGGTAAACCAACCCCCTGTTATAGCCGGAAAGAACCCTTCCACGAATCCTGCCACTTCCATCGGGAGCTCGTTGAAGAAGAAAACGCAAACCATCAGGCCAACCACGGTCATGAACTCCCCTACAATGGGAAAGAGCATACAAGGCTTCCTCTTGCCCCATCTGTCACTCCAGGATCCGATGAACATGATGAGGAATGCTGGGAGGGCACTCTGTAGAATTGTCTTCCAAACGCCCATGGAAGCTACCAACTGCTGGACTTGCTGTTCCTCCATAGTGTAATTCTGGGTTCTTCTTTCTGTTAAAGCGTCGCAAACTTCTGTCGTGTAACCCAAGTTGACCCTACAGGCTTTTTCTAGGTTCAAGTTTTGAGTGGCAAGGCTGGCCAAAACGCTGGGAATTATGTAACACGCCAACATAGGTTCGACTGTGATGTTTTCAATGAAGAAACTGTAACGTTCTCTCCATGTCATCGAGTTTATACTGACTGATTTCACAGAGGTCTCATTTTCTTTTTTCGAGTGGTTTTTCTTGGCTTCGGCTTTCTTTTTTTCAGCTGCTTTGGCCATCTTCTTCTGTTTCAAGACCTAAAACAAAAATTAATTTTTCATTCCATATTCAAAATTTTTTTTTGTCTCAAACAATTTTTTGATAACAATGACGCATTGAATGTTTGAGCGACTTCCACCTGAATTGAAATGGAAGTGTAAAAGAACAGAAACGATCTCGGAAACCGAAAAAAGTCGCGAGGGGCCAAATCTGGTGAATACGGTGGTTAAGGCATAATGACGATGTTGTTTTTGGCCAAAAGCTATGAATCGTGTTTCCAGAATACTAGACATTTTTCTCAAATTGTTTCTCGAAACCGGCGCATAACTTCAAGATAATATTTCTTATGGACCGTACGACCATGTGACAATAACTCCTGATGCATTACGCCACGGTAATTGAAGAAAACCGTGCGCAAAACCTTGATATCTGATCGAACTTGACGAGCTACTTTGGTCTTGGCTCTCCTGGGCTCTCCCATTGGGACGTTTGGACTTTGGTTTCGATGTTATAACCATACAGCTATGATTCGTAACCAGGTATGACCCTTTCAAGCAAATTTGGATCGCTGTTGATGTCATTCAACGGTTTCTGAGCGATGCTCATGCTACGGTTTTTTTGGTCCAAATTCAGTAATTTTGAAACGAACTCCACTGCAACACGCTTCATGTCCAAAATTTCCAAAAAAATTGCATGGCATGAGCCAACCGATATGCGGATATCCTTGACAACTTTTTTAATAGTGATTCGACGAATCTTAATAACATTTTTGTTCACTTCCTCTACATTTTCATCGGTTTTCGATGTGCTGAGGTGTCCAGGGCGAGCATCATCATTCACATCTTCACGACCTTCTGTGAAAAGGTCAAACCCATTGTAAAAATTTCTCCGACTCAAACCTGGTATTTATAGAATTTGTGAAATTAGTTTCGTTTGTTGATAGGCAATCATTTGATATCTTTTTGCTTTCTACTTCTCTAGTCTGTTTAAAAAATCTGTTTGAGATCCGTTTTTCCGTTAATCAGCCGTCGCCCCCGTACGAACGACGACTCGTGTGCGAGCTAAGAACTAACGAGGTCTTTTCTTTTAACGTGTGATTCCTAACACGGTTGCAGAATCATCCCAGCTTCAACCAGATGAATTCTCTCGAGAAAAATATCTGGTCGAGGCGGGAATCGAACCCACGGCCTTCCGATCATGAGTCGGGCGCACTACCACCGCGGCCAATTCCAGAACACATAAAACAAAATTTCCAATATCATTAAAGAATGTTTAGATGATGTACAACAATTTATTTTCAAGGCAAACTGGAAGGATGAGTTTATTTCAGTTTATTCAGTTTCCCCACGGATTTTGGATAATACGGTAATCACTAATTCCGAATAGGTAAATTTATCACATTCATACATAATTTCATAACGGAAAATGTAGAATTTAGTGATACTGATATCAAATCGATCCAAAATTTCTTGTTTGATCATCTGACTGATGCAAAAACTGAACAATCAAATGTGTTTCTAGAACATTTTTCATCTCATAACGCATTTAAGCATTTAATTGCATTCTATAACTATAACTCTATAATACCAATAAAAACCATCACGATGAAGAAACGGCGATTTGTAAAAATGCCATTCGAACTGACGAATGCTCCTTCAAAATTTCAGAGAGTGGTGGGTCACATTCATTATATTCGTAATCTCAAACGAATGATACCTCTTGACATTAGTTGAAATGGGTGAAATGCTCAGGATATTCTCCAAAAGTCGAATCTTCCTCGAGCTGAAGATCAACCTGCGAGTCCAAGCATGGGTCAGAACGTACACAGAGAACTCTTCACATTGACAATGGCTACCATCACAACTAGCTACCATCTAACTGACAATATCTTCTCCTACTATTCACAAACTCATTTTGATAATTGAAGAGTCAAAGAACTCCTTTATAATAATCCTCAAATGATATAATAACATGGAGAGGTATCTATTCTGTATCATATCTATTTACTCACAGAGTAAATTCCAACAAAATCCATTCATGATCGTGTTTTCAGAATATACTTTTGTCACTTAAAATTATACCATTGGAATAGAAAATAACTCTCAGTTTGAATCATTTCAAACATCTAAAAGAGTAAAACAGAATCAGAGTAAGTAATATATCTCTCAAGTATTCTCTACTTTCATAACTTTTCACAAAATCGAATCCCTGATCAACTATTCGAAAGCTGATTACTGAAAAAAACTTTTCTTTTTCCCAAAACAGAAGGAACTGAAAGACTCTCACATTTTAGAGGAAAAAATTTATCGAAGTTTGGCCAGAAAACCCTCATGTCACACACTATCAAAGACCTTGGAAATATCAAGCGCAACAGCTCTTGACTCTCCATGTTTCTCGATTGCGTTATTCCAAATATAGGTGACATATGAAGGAAGGTCGCTTGCTGACCTCTGTTTCCGAAAGCCATATTGATGTTCGCTTAGGATGTTGAGTCCTTCCAAATATTCAAGGCTAATTTCTCCATAACGTTTTATATCAACGACACCAAAGCGACTGGTCTATAGTTATTTGAAAGATTTTTCTCGCCCTTTTTGGGGAACGGCTGTACTCGAGCAATCTTTCAAAATCTATTCTGGAAGATCTTGCAAGAGATGCTTCAAACTCAAAAAAAAAGTTTATCAAAAAATAAAATTAAACACAATTCCAAGGGATGTCATGAATATTCAAGGCTAATTTCTCCATAACGTTTTATATCAACGACACCAAAGCGACTGGTCTATAGTTATTTGAAAGATTTTTCTCGCCCTTTTTGGGAAACGGCTGTACTCAAGCAATCTTTCAAAATCTATTTAGGAAGATCTTGTAAGAGATGCTTCAAACTTAAAAAAAAAGTTTATCAAAAAATAAAATTAAACACAATTCCAAGGGATGTCATGTTCTCTTTTTCGATAAACAATATTAGCCCAGTCGAATTCGAATTTGACATCGCAAACAATTTTACTAGCAATTTTCTTTTGGAATTCTTTTGTGGCGGTCACTGGCAGTGGCACTGACTATGGTATCAGACTTCTTACGTCATCCGCCATCTTAAATTGAAGGGTTGATTTTTGTTTATTGTTCGTTTATTTTACCCAAAAAATAATTATAACAAAAGTTGTTCAAAATAAAATTCTGATTAGACTGGCGTATATTCACAAAATCCGAAAGTCAAAAGTGTAATACATCTTCTTTCTTTCAAAACGATCGATTCATTATTTTCCACTTATTCATTTTAACAACATGTACGCCTTCCATTATCGATTAATCATGTGTTATTCATAGAACACATGCCATTTTTATTGAATGTTTGATAACATCGAACATTTTTCCAATTGTTGTCATTCCTGACTTCAGAGATTATTTCAAATCTATTACTTACATTCATAGATTATATGTGAAAATATGTGCACGATATCATAATCAATAGAAATAGTCATGTGGTTGTTATGCAAAAACTGTCTATAAATTTTAACGACTATATACTAATTTTTGGAAACCCAAACTAGTAGCATAAGTGCCTGTTTATGCTATGTGAAGATTCTGAAGAAATTAATAGTTGATACTAACTCACCAACTCATAGACGTTATGTCACGTTTCTTATCTGAACTTCCTGATAATATTTCATGCTTCGGATACTCATATACAAGTTTTAATTTATACCATACCATTATCCTTAAAGACAAAATGTGTTTCATCTATTTGACCTAAAAGTCTGTAGTGTAGGAAGTTCAGCGTTAGCTGCGTTATGCTTTACAATGCTTTTTTCACATTGCAAAGTTGTATATGTAATGTAAATATATGAGTAGTTGGTGAGTTAATGGTATATCTATAGTCTAATCAACAACTTCAAAAACATGAAAAATAGGGATAAAAGTCCTAAAAATATGAGCGACAGCTCATTCGATTCAGAATCACCTCTAGAAAAATGTTTTTGAAGGATTTTGGTGCAGGTAAAAAATTGCCATTGTTATTAACAATATAAGGTTTGAAAAAATGGTATTTAGTTTTTTGTTAATAACTCAAAAAATATTAATATTTAGGCAATTTTGAAAAAAAGCTC